ATATATATATATTAGGTAGTATATATACGTATCATGTACATCGACGACGAGTTGATTGAGAGGCTGCGGTAGAAGGAATAGAAATATAGAAAAAGGATATTTTAGAAGAACTTTTTGATTTTGATTGACATTTACGTAATGTGACATGAAACACCACATCGCTATTGGAAACAGGTAAAAAATTTAAATAGTGAAGGATTCTTGTGAAAATCACCATTCCCAACATCTATTGGTCATATTAGACGCGTTTTTAGGGTGCAATACATTGAAACGGGCGGGTTCATCTAACAGGATGTTCATCTGACAACGGCAAAGATTAGGGTGATTAAAATGAACAACAGTTTATTGAATTTAGTTAGTGTTTCGACAGCCAGATTTTCGTTCCCGTGTTGCATTGCGGCAGGTTTTTCGCCATTTAGGACGTGGACAGTGATGCTTGCTGCATCGCTGCTCGAAGGGGCACAGGTGTAGTTCCCACTGTCGCTTGGTAGGGCTCGGGAAATTAAAAGTCGACTAGTGCGGGTCTGTTTCTCGGTGACAACGCTAATTCCTCCCCGTTGTGAATAGTTGATCACCTGGTTACCCTTAAACCAGTAGATAAAGCTCGGCGGAGTCGGCGTTTGCAGGACGATGCAAGTCAAGTTTATATCGCTGCCACTTTTTATAAATAATTCCGGATTCCCCAGGATTTTCGCCTTTGATACTGAAACAAGAAAATGTCGTAATGTAATGTAACTATAGGTAGTACCTGCGATGGTTATTTCTAACGGTTTTGTACTTGAATGGCGTAGAATTCAATTCATTAGTGTAAAAGCTCCCTGTACATCGCGAACGATTTCTTAAAATATATTTTTAGACGCTAATAAAAACCACACTAATGCACTTGAAATGATTGATTATTACCTAAAGAGATAAGAAGAATAGCGTTCTACTAAAAAGATCCATTTGCGGAAAGTAAAAAAGTCTAAAAAGAAATTTAGAACTGGCGATTCTATTGAAAATCGGAAAAGTCCGGCAGCTCAGCGAAAGTACTTGCCAACATTCATCAAACTGAAAATTTCAATACTTTTTACGGCACAACTTAATATTGGGTAGATATTTTAACGTAAACACGTAAAGAATAAATTCGGATAGATAAACAACTATTCCTGTAGGCACACCATGCTATTGCAATCATTTTGTAGTAGTTTATCGGTAAAAATCTGAAAAATCTGGCACCCAAGACGAAACGTCAATGTTGTTTATTATAATTATGTATTGGATAGACGAAATAATATCCGTTAAGTCCGTATGTTATATAGGAAGCAATTAAAATTTCCAAATTGAGTCCGTATCGTGGAGAGCTGGGACTTAAATTAGCACTAAGGAAAGACAGTAAATTAAAGTGACTTAAAACCGGTGAAAAGGCCGAGGTAAAATTAAATTTTCGCGAAATTGCTAAAAAGGGTGGATGATGTACCTACTTTTACTCTAATAGTTTGAAACTTGAAACATGAGAAAGAAGAGAGGTAATTGAAAAAAGATTAATTAAGGACGTGTGCTTGAGACGACGATGAATTTTACTGAAAAATTTTCCGTGCGTAATTCTATTTGGGACACGGTGAGATAAAATGTGGAAAATTAAGAACAAATTCTTGTGAGAGATTACTATAGTCGGGTAAGTCGTACTTTGGGCATACACACAATTTAGAAAACTAAGACTAGAGAAGTGAGGTCAGTTATAGAGAGGTAAATGTGAAGGATTTAGATAAGGTATTTCTGAGACATACATAGGTCATTAGATAGAAGACTTGTTAGTAATGAGCGTCTATTTTTGGGTTTTGTGCATGTGAGATTAAGTGCATCGCTATATAAATAAACTGGTTTTCTCTTTTAGGGGATGAAATTTTAGCTGTAAATGGACATGTTTGCCATGACATATCACATGCAGAAGCGGTCTTGCTATTTAAAAGTATCAAAAGCGGTCCAGTAGCATTACATATTTGCAGAAGAACTCGAAATAAGTCGATGTATGTATTCAGACAAGATTGATATCCCGTTTTTTTCGTTAGTTTTAATTGCTACGATAATTTTTCCTTTTTCAGGTCAACGAAAGCGATGTCCTGCACGGACATAATACAGTCGTCAGTCAACCCAACGGCTTAAAATGCACACCAATGAATAATCTGATTTAAATTTTGTACAAACGTATCAAGCATATATTTTAATAAATTAATAATATAATACATATACATTAAATATATTTGTATTTTATAAAAATTCAATTATTGCGCTTTTTTTAAAAGCCAAAACAAGCCAATCCCATAAAGCGTCTCTTAGAAACGGATGGAGTGCGAACAATCCCGAGATAGACCGAGAGAGTTTGTTGCACTTTAGCTGCCGGGCCGCAGTAGACATATTTGTTCCGCTGCGTCTTACTTCGAACACGTTCTTGTTCATTTGTTGTATACACACCTTTAATCTGCCATTAATCGCTTTTTCACTTGTTTAATAGAATCCCAGTTTATTGGTAAGAAAATTTATAACGAACAACCCGAAAAACACAAGCTACATTTGTACCACCTCGATAAATGTAATACTAATGCGTTCAACTGTTCGCATTTCTTTAAATTAATTATAAATTCGTATTTCTTTAATGTAAATATCAAAATATCGCGGTTATTGCTGTATTGTAATCAAAAATATATATTTTTATTGATAGCAGTAGATTTTCAGGAAAATTAGCATTTTATATCAAGTGTGGTGGTACCAATGAAGAAAATTGTACTGTTAAACGATATTTCGCTTATAATCAGTTGGCTTTTTTCCGATGTGTATAAAACATTATCATCATGTCCTCCGTATGTTTGTAGAGGTTAAATATTAAAGTACTAGTTCTAAACGTGATATTGTTGTGTACGATGTAGCTGCTTTATGAACAAAAAACAATTTTATTAATTCCGTGTGTGCTTCTTATTAAATAAAGTGATTAAATACGTATAAAATATATTGTGTAGGTACTTTGAATTTGACTTTTTGCTAAAAACGAGTTTAACTTCTACCTGTTGGATGATATGCTGTTGCCGGTAAGTGTTTTAAGTAATTTTATTATGCATATTAATTGCTACTGCATTGCCTTATTTAAACAAATGCATTAGTTTATCACAATAGAAGGATAAGCGCATAGCTATTGCGATCGAGCGATAAAGGTAGAAGTTTTAATTTGGCTATTGAATTTTCGTTAATTATGTAAATGCTTAAGCGTCAACAGAAAACTATTCGGAAAGAAATTTAAATTTATTCGGAATTTCGGATGTCGAGTAATTAAAAGTAAATTAAGAGGTGGTATTGAAGAGTCTAGGTAGAATTAATTAGGTCTAACAAAAATAAATGATTGCTAAAAGTCGTTGCCTAGATTGGCAATTGGTAAAATTAGATTGAAATCTTTAAGGCCCTTGAAGATACTGTTGAGCGTAGAAAAGTACTTAATTTAGATAATTATTAAAACAATTCCACAGTAGCTAGGCTCTTAGATATTTATAGAGTGTGGTAGTTCTGTTTTGAAACTGGAGAAAAAGCAGAACAAGCGGATAACGTTTGAATAAACAAAATATCCGAAAAGGAAATTTTGGGCAGACTCGCCAAAAGGCGCAACAGGTACATACTGGAAAGAGCAGGTACTTTTGCTTTTGCTTTTAATCGCTTTAAGGATAAGCCCAGATATATTTAGGTTTGTCGTTAGGTCAATTAGGGTTGGACAGACGTAAAATGTGACAGAATTAGAAGAAATCCTTGTGAGGAATAACTACTTTAGTCAGGTAAGCCCAGATATATTTAGGTATATCGTTAGGTCAATTGGGCTTCATCATCATCATAAGGTCGTCAGTCCTAAGACTGGTTGGACACGTACCTCCACTCTTTCCTATCCTGAGCTAAACTTCGCATTTCCGTAAAACTAGAACAGCCCACATCCTTAACTATTTGCGAACAGTAATCTAATCTAGGTCTACCTCTACCCCTCCTAACTCCTGTTTCTGCC